CTGGTCTCTGTGTAGGAAATACTGGAAACTTGTGGGAAACTGCCTGAACTCGGGCATTGCAAGACACTCAGCGGTAAACACGGGGCCAAGAGCTTTACAAATACACCAGTAACAGAAGGGGGTGTGTGTGGGGGGAATCAGTGGGAGCTGAGGGGCCTGGATCCTTCGGAAATGAGCGTTCATTAGTTCCAGCATTCACTGAGCTTATGTTTGTATTTCCAGAGACACTTGGAAGCGTAACCCTGCCACAAAGTTCGTGTTCTCCTGGACGCTGCCTCATGTCACCCGGCCCTGGCTGAGTCGTTACCTGGAGCGTGTCCTCCCGCCATCGCTGCTCATCTCGGACGACTACCAGGAGGAGAATAAAATCCTGGGTGTGCGCTGCCTGCATCATATCATTCTCAACGTGGTAAGGGATTTGAGAAATCAGATCCTTTCCTGGATGTTGTCTGAAGGAAGCGTGGGTTGGATTCCTGTTAGGATTCCTAACTTCTGTTCCTGGTTCTGTGGTTAACCTAGGAATTCTGCTCCATCTTCCATACTGTCCTCGTGTGTTTAAATATGTGTTCTTATATCTGTTACACTAAGCAAAGACTTGCCTTGCCAGCGTTTAAACTCAGCTGGTTTGCATATTGGCCTGACAACAGTTTCAGGGCAGGGTATTAGAGTAATGCCAGGGGATCTGCAAAAGAGCAGCTGGGGAGGAAGGAAAGTGGGTGCTCCTGTGCCTGGCAAGGTTTAACCTGCACTTATTACGGCACCTGCTCCCCCTTTCTTGTAAGCAGTGTTTCTGTTTGTAATGCACAGGATGTGCGAGGGTTGTTTTCATAAGAGCTGGGTTTGTGAAGGCTGTTCCCTTTTATTAGGTTAAGTGGGTGCTGAGTGGGATGCACAGAAATAACGTTCTGTTCTCTGTTGTTGCAGCCAGCTGCTGATCTGTGCCAGTTCAACAGGGCTCAGGTTGTGTACCACGCCCTCTTCAACCACCTCTATTCACGTGAGGCCCCTCTCATCCAGGTAGGGCAGCACTTTAATCTGCCATGGTATGGTGTGTCAGCCCCACGAGGGACAGCCAGGAGGCAGAACCTGTTTCCTCGCAGACAGTCCGGTCAGGCTGTTACTAGCCGATGCTTGTGGCCAAGAGACAAAGTAACTGAGTAGATTTCAGGAAAATACCAAAGTGGGGCTAAGACCTCGTGCCTCCTGTCCCCTTCCAGCTGGCAGCCGTGCTGAAGAGGCCCAGTCACAGGGGTAACAGGCAGTAGTTACTTGGGGGCAGTCAGGTGAGCTGCAGCAGCTGTGGGTGGACGGGATTTGGAAGTTACTGGTGTTTTGGAGGGAGCATCAAAAGGGCTGCACAGATTTACTGTCTCGCACCGAACCAGGCAGTACTGCTCTGCCTGCTGGACTTGCTGCCAATCCTGGAGAGATCCCAGCGGCACCAGAAGCACGCCAGACCAACCGCCCCCTGCGATGAGGTGCTGCAGCTGGTTCTGACCCACATGGAGGCAGAGCATCGCCTTGCGCTGCGGCGGGTGTACGCCAGGACGCTGCCTGCCTTTGTGCAGAGGTGAGAGCAGCACCCGCAGCCCTGCAGGGACTCGCTGGGGCCGTGGTCTGTATCTCCCTCCTCAGGGTGTGTCAGGAGCACGCCAGACCAACCGCCCCCTGCGATGAGGTGCTGCAGCTGGTTCTGACCCACATGGAGGCAGAGCATCGCCTTGCGCTGCGGCGGGTGTACGCCAGGACGCTGCCTGCCTTTGTGCAGAGGTGAGAGCAGCACCCGCAGCCCTGCAGGGACTCGCTGGGGCCGTGGTCTGTATCTCCCTCCTCAGGGTGTGTCTCTTTGTGTCGGCAGGCTTGGCATCCTGATAGCGCGGCACATGAAGAGGCTGGAGCGGGTTATCCTGGGGTACCTGGAAGTCTGTGACGGCCCTGAGGAAGAAGCCCGACTGGGAATTCTGGAGACACTGCAATGCACCATAGAGCATGCTTGGCCCAGGTACCGGTCTGGGGGTGACACACTATAGAGAGCATGTCTTGAATGCTGTCACTTTTTCAGAGTTGCTTGAGGAGAAGGCCCTGAAATCTTAAGGGAGAATCTGTCACAGGGAGGAATCACTGGCATTACTGCTTGGCTGAAAAACCTGGCCCAAAAAATTATGCTGGGTCCTCATTCTGATCTGACTTCTGCCAGTTCTAGAAACATCAGCTTGGCTAAAAACCAAATCTGTGTTCTCTGCATGGCAGAGCTGTGGAGTAAGCCCTGTGCTGTGAATTATGCTGCCCAACGATGGGCATTCTTGAGACACCATCCTGACGTTACTCTGTGTTTGGGGCCGTGTCCTCCCTCTGGTGGGCACTCTGAACAAGGCAGCTTCTTCAGCCTCAGCGCTGAAGCAGTTCCTCGTCTTTAGTCCAGCTACAATCCTGCTCCACACCTAAATGGCAACTAGCAGCTCCTGCCTGGAGTGTCTAGGAGCTGCTAAGCCAGGCTGTGCTTTCCTCTGGCTTGAGGATTTAGAAAAGGTGCTGTTGCCGTTTTCCTTTGCAGAATGCCGTGCAGGCTCCCCGTGCTCCTCAGAGCCCTGCTGAAGTTCATCTGGGACGTACACACTGACCAGGGCTCAACACCGGAGCCGGTAAAAGCCACCTTGCTCCAAGGGGCCACCGAATGCCTCATCCTGCTGGATCGCTGCTCTGAAGGGCAAGTGAAGGTGAGCCAGGGACCCAGCGCTGCTTCAGCTCTGATCCTTCCCCCTTAGAGGGAAGGGGCAGCATGGTGTGGGCGAGAGCCCGCTCGCTTCCTCAGTCCAACAGGATTTTGAAAGCATCAGTTTCCACCTCCCTCAGCATTAATACTTGACTTAATAAGTGACTCAATACATATTGATAAGTATCTATACATTTTTGTACGATTGTCTTCTAACAGATAGCTGGTGGAGGGTTGGTAACACCATAAACCCGAGCGTGCCAAGGCACTGGAAATTGATGCTTTTCTTGTTTCAGGTCCTGCTGGAAGGCGTGTACAGCAGCTGTGAGGAGAGCCGCGTACGGGACTGCATCAGAAAAGTGCAAGAGAACACGTGAGGCGTGGCTGATCAGTGCTCACCCTGCTTTTTATACAGTAAATTTATTTTATTTATTTAAAGTTACTGTCTTTCTCATCCCACCCGTCAGCCCCACACCTTCCCCCAAACAAGATAGAATTATGTGCTCGCCTAGCCGCATGCGGGCTTCTCTGGCTTTGGGACAAAGCACCAGTGCCCCCCAGTCCAGGTTCCGTCCTGGAAAACAGTCCAAGCTGAGCCTCATGTGGTTGCAGAGAAGGTGGGGAGTCTTCCTCCTTAAAACTGCGCTTCACGCAGGAGTTGTACAAACCTGCTGCTGTTGCCTGGGGTTGGGACAGAAACTCTTCTCTTCTTAAAAAAAAATATTAGTCTAGAGTATGGAAAAAGGGGTAATTATTCAGGGTCCTGCACAGAGTGGCAACACCTGGGAGGAGTTCAAGTGCCAGAGGCGAGTCCTGTCGTTCAGTACAAAGTGCGGGTTCAGGAAGGGGTCAGGCTGCTTTGGTTTTGGTGGTTGGCTCCGTTTCTTCTTCGTACTCTATTTCAATGTAGGGACGTTTTCTCCTGGCTGGTCCTTTCAGAGGAGTTTTCCCTTTAGATTTGGAGTTAGATTTCTTCTCTACTTCTTCCTCCTCTTCCTGCTCCTCTTCACTACTTGTCTCCAACTTATCCATGTCCTGAGGAAGAAAGACAAGAGTGATGTCAAAGCACGCTGCGTAACTAAACCTCCTCCTCCTGCAAAATTATCTCATGTATCCAATTCCAGTGTATAATTCCTGGCTCCCAGCTGTCCACCTGTATCATTATGTTCCACAAACTGGATTTTTCTGGCTCTTATCCCATCACCACAGACACAAGAGGGTGGAGGGTGCTTTCAAACAGCTCAACCTGACAGTTCATACCTGGTGCTGCACCTACCTCAAAGTCACTGAGGTCACTGTCATCGGCTTCCACAAACTCTCTTTTATCCACCTCCTGCAAGAAATAAAGTCAGAAGCGAGTACGTGCACACGTAGCACACTGCAGACTGGCACGGGAAGAGCCACCGAGGCTCCCCTGGCTGGAAGCGTTACCTCGTCGTCTTCTTCCTGCTCTGCATCCGACTCGCTCTCGCTTTCTGCTTCTTGCTGTTGCAGGGCTTTGTCGAAGGCGTGAATGGGGAAGTTGTAAATGTCTCCATACTGAAAAGGAAAATGGGGATTGTAGGGAGACAGCCGGTGGTGGCAGGGTCATCTACAGCCTGCATGGAGGCAGTACCAAACTGGGCTGAACTGGTGGCTCAGCCCCTTCCCTAGTGCTGAAGCACGCACTGCCGTACAGAAAACAAGGGGCTCTGCCTTTTGGGGTTCTCGAGCCTGCTGCAAAGCCCCTCAAGAAGGGCAGCATGGGCTCATCCCCTCCTCTGTGGGCGATGCTCCTGTCACACCACCGCCCCGTCCCTCCCTGCAGAAGCAGCAGGGCGGGAGGGCAGCAGGAGCGGTTTCACTGCTGTGCCCGAAGGCAGGGATCCTCACCGTGGCCTGTTTCAGCCTCTCCAGCAATTCCTTCTCGATGGCGTTGTCCAGCTGTGCGGCGATCAGGGCTTTCTCCTAACGGAGCAGAGGAGCCGTGTCAGGGGGGTGAAAGGCGTGGAGCAGGAGAGGACACAAAGGAGGGGTCTTACCTCTCTTCTCTTCTCTCGCCTTTCAATCTTCCTGCGTAAAGGAACCAGCTTCCTCCTACAGGGAGCAAAAGAGCCCATCAGCCATGCTGTCAGCCTCCTGGGGAGCAGCTGAGCGCGCGTTGGGGCAGCAGCCAGCGGTTCTGTCACTTGGGATGTGGCTGCAGGTGCATTTCCAGATGCAGGGAAACCCGTCCCAGCCAGGTTCACCCACCCACCTGCCCAAGCCTCAGGAAGGCAGCAGAGCGCGCTGTGGGCGGCTCTGGGTCCAGTGACAGCGGCTCCATAAGCCACACCAACATGACCGCTCGTAGTGGTGTCACTTACTGTCGCTTGAGCGTCAGCTTGCGGATGCGGATGAGGTACTGGGTGATCTTGGTGAAGCGCTGCTTGCACTTGTGGCGGATGAACCGCGGCCAGTAGATGAGGTTCTCGTCGATCTCCTCCAGGGCTTTCTCGTAGTTCTTGCTTAGCAGGACCTGGGAGGGGACAAAGGGACAGGGCTGAGCTACGGGGCAGCACCAACGCGGGGAGACGTGCAGTCGACCAGCGCAGTTCGCTGTGATCAGCGCGAGGGGCTCGGACACCTCCCAGACGAGCCAATGATGATGAAAGGAAAAGCCATTGATTGTGTGTTGCTCACTTGCTTTTATACTAAATTTTTTCCAATTTGGCAGCTGCTAATTAGATACAATAATTTTAAATTCTTAACACCAAAATCACTGTTGGCTATGCTGGATCCTGGGAAAGCAACCTTCGAAGTTATGTCAACACAACCTCTAAAATAACTTAGTTGTGCTAATTATCTTCCCTCAGTTTCCCCTTCTCTTTCTCATATTCTGGATAATTGGATACTTTTGGACATCTGGTCATTTTTCTTCTTTCCCAGGATCCTCTATCAACCTTATGATTACAAAGTCTAAAGTTACTGTCGTAGTTAAAATTCCACTTTAACACAAAACACCGCTACTTCTAGGATTCTCTATTAATCTTATAAACTCTAAAGTTAATCTCACAGTTAAAATTCTACTTCAGCATAAAACACCCCCACAGACACGTCTGCTCTTGGCAGGAGACCCTCACCCGCTCCCAGAGCCTCCGGGGAAAAGGGGCGCGTTCGATCGTCTTCATGTACAGGTAACACCGACCTACAGGAAAGAGGAACGTCACCCAGGGGAGGGACAGAGCGTGTCCCCAGCCACGGGAGAGGGCTCCGAGCCGGGCTGTCCCCAGCAGGCGCTGTGTGCCCCCTCCCCACCCGGGGGGTGTTCAC